CGCGCACACACACACACACATACACACCCATTTCTACAACATTCCAAGATGATCAGACATAGGTGTTCCTATACATCGTTCTTGATTTTGTGCCTCTGTGGCCAGATATGTCATCCCATGTGGAACAACATCCACGTGGCTTGTCACATCTGGCAATTCAAATAAAATGAAAGGCATGAGCACTTTGTCCCATTCCTGAATGTCTTCTTTGTCAACTCAGGTAACAGACAGGCTTGGTACCTTCCTTTAAGAGCTTGCCTACTGCTGAGTCCTCATCAGCCCTGGTGAGACGGGAACTGTGTTCTTCTGTCACACCTCCTCAGTTAGGTCATCTCTGTCATTGCCAAGTTCTTCTACCCTACACAGAAGTTGTTTCTAAGTCCCAGTAAGAGAAAAAGGAGTCTATTTATATTGTGTCCACTGCTTTATTTTGCTAAATGTGATAAATTTATTAATAGCAGCACCAGGGGGAGGCAGTCTACATTCTGGTGATGATCAGTACAGGATTGTTACTTCTGTTTGCTTCTCATAGTCCTTGCAGCTCAGGAGCAGCTGGCCCTGCGTTTCCTCACTTCATCTCCTCTGTGACATAACCCAATGGCTAAGAAGGTCACTTACAGACTCTCTGCTTTGCAGTCACCAGTGTAGGCTAGGGCCCAGCTAAATTCTGGCCACTGCATCCTCAGAATGACAGGATGGGTCTCTTCCTTTGGATTTCCCCACAAGTACACTCTGGGTGTGCAGGCAATTTATTTGGGAGCCATCCCAAGAAAAATGGGCAGGGGAGCAGAGAAGTAAGACAGGAAAGGAAGGTAGTCAAGGAAGGGTGATTTTTGTGTGTGCATGCAGTGCTGAGGATCGAACCTAGGGCCTGGACATGCTAGGAAAGTGCTCTACCACTGAGGTAATCTCGAGCCCTCTGAAGATTGTTTTGTTTTTCTGGGACAGGGTATTGATATATAACCCATGGTGTCTTTGAACTGAAGATTCTCCTACCTCTTCCTCCTGTGTGCTACAATTACAGGTGTGCACTACCACCTGTTTCTTTTGGTAGTCCTGGGGTTTGAATTCAGGGTCTCATGCTTGCTAGGCAGGTGCTCTATTACTTGAGCCATGCGCCCATGCTTTTTTGCTTTAATTATTTTTCAAACAGGGTCTTTTGTTTATGCCCAGGCCAACTGGGCCCTCGATCCTTCTATTTATGCTTCTTGTGTAACTGGGATGTTAGGTGCCCACCTTTTTATTGGTTGAGATGGGGGTCACACTAACTTTTTGCCCCGGCTGGCCTTAAACCTCAGTCCTTCTGATTCTGCCTCCTGAGTAACTAGGATTACAGGCATGAGCCACCACAGCCAGCTGGGTTTGTTTGTTTTTAATCAAGCACGACTAAACTAGGGCCTAATCAGGTGAAGGTAGTCTGGGAACCCGAGAAGAACATCTATTGCCTGAAGGTCCAAGGGTACAGAGACTTCTGGAACAAGATCTTCAATTCTGCAGAATGTTCAGGTCATTGCCTTGAGCAGAACAGGCTTTAGTAGCCAGAGGATGCTGTCAGCAAAGGGATCACAGGTTCTGGCTGCTGGAGTTGGTTGCAATCCACTTCAAGGCTACGGGGATGTGGGCAGAGCCCCAACAGCATCCCCACAATAGCTTTCCCCAGTGCTAATCGACAAGTAACTATTCTAGCCGTTATAACGTGGTACGGTGAGGTACAGTGGCATCTGCCCTTGATAACAGGCTCCACTCCTAGTACGACTGGCTTTGTCTCCAGCTGGACCAATCATGTCACCTCAAGTAGGATGTGAACTAAAACCAACATCTTATCATTTGAACTGATAAGCAAGTTTTTTCTTTATAAAACAGTATCAGGATCAATCAAATAAAATATATTTTGCATGTGTGCCCATTTCTCAGACTGCCATGGCAGAAAATGCAAGCTGAATATCAATATCTATTCTCCCTCTTCATGGTTGCTCATCTGGACTATATTCCCCAACCTCTCTTGCACTTAAGTGTGGCCATGTGACTAAGAACCTCCAGCCAGTGACATTGGAAGTGATGTGTACTCCTGGCTCATTGAACCTCCTCCATGCTCCTTCCCCAGTTCCTGATTGGGGTGACCACACCTGGGTGGCCTAAGATGTCAGAACCAGGAGGAGCCCTGTTCCTTAAATGAGTGTATGGACCAGAGCTCCTCCACAAACCTAGAGTCACTCTAGACTATTACTCAAGCAAAAATAAACCACTGAGTTGAGGTCTTAGATTCTAGTGAGAAAGAAAGAAGAGCCCCTGGAAACCTCCATTATGACCTCCCTATGACCTTAAAGAGTGGAAAGAAGGAAAGGCAGGAAGGACTGTGTAAAGATCAGGACCCACATATCAGAATGTTACAGGAGCAGCCTATCAAAATGCTGCTTTCTGCACACTTGATTAGCATAGAGATTGAGCCCTAGAGAGAATGGATAAAAACCTCAGATCATATCATTTCTAGGGCACCATCTCTGAGTCCCCCCTCCTCCTTCCCTCCCTGCCCCAACTCTGGGGGCTCTACTCTCCCACTTTACTCTTTTCTATCTCAGTAAACTCTCCTGCTTTATACTTTTCTTGATGTCTGTGAAGTTCATTCTTTGGCTTCTTGGACAGGAACCTTGGTCTCAAATATCCTGTTTCACCAGGTTTTCCTTTTACTTGCATTCAGACCATCCCAAAAAATATATCTTCTGGTGCCCTCCCCAGAGCCTCCATGAACTCTGGGTGAAGAATTCTTATTCAGGGGAGGGAAATCATGTACATGCAACACTCGGACGCAGGCAGAGAGTATGTTGGCTACACTTACCCTTCATGTACCAGAAACTCAGAAAGGTTCATAAATTAGATAAGATTTAGACAGGAAGATAGCAGGAGCATTTTCCCATCAACATAAACTGGAATTCAGACTCCTTCGTTTATTAAGAGTGATAAGCGAGGTCAAAGTCCACCAAAGCCTGTGAGTTACTCAGTGTCAAGTGTTCCAATAAAACATGAAGTCCTAAAACTTGCCAATAAGAAGTAGCTTTATGGCCAGGTGTGGTGACTTATGCCTGTAATTCCAGCTACTTGGGAGGTAAAGATAAAAGATTGTGGTTCAAGCCCAGCCCAGGAAAAAAAGTTAGCAAGACCTTATCTCAAAGAACAAGCTAGGCATGGTGGTGTATACCTTGTAATCCCAACTGCGCAGGAGGCATAGGTAGGAAGATCACAGTCTAAGCAAAAAGCATAAGACCTGATCTGAAGAATAATTTAAAAAGATAAAAGGACTGGAGGCATGGTGCACTTGCCTAGCAAGTGCAAGACTATAAGCTTAAACCTTAGTACCACCAAAAAAACTCAGAAGTAGGTTTGTTGGTAATAAGACAATCTGAACAAATATACTATAATCAGAAAGAAATATGAGACACTCATTAATCTAAGAATAATATTGTATATCTTTAAAACAAATAGGATCTAGTAGGGTTTTGATAGATGGTCACTTTGTAAAGGGAAGTTATAGATGTTCAAGACATACTCTCAAAACCTTTTAACTTTGATGTGAAAAATGAGAATTGTCAAGCATGGTGGTGTGTGCATGTAATCCCAACACTTGGGAGGCTGAGACAGGAAGATCATAAATTCAAGGCCAGCCTGAGCTGTGTCATAAGACTCTGTGTTAAAAAAAAAAAAGAAAGAAAGATGGAAGGAAGGAAGAAGGAAGGGAAGGAGGGAGGGAGGGAGGGAGGGAGTGGAAGGAAGAAGGGAGAGAAGAAAAAAGAATGAAAGCAAAATGAGAAGTGTTACACTCTCCACATCCAACACAATAATGCTAATCCCGGTGTTCACTCTTCATCACATGGACTTTTGGTTGGATCCAGTCAGCAGTATTTATTCAGCAACTACTGTGATCCAGACATTGTGCTGACAGTACAGTCAGCAATAAGACTGTCATGAACCAAGATGGAGGAGACAGAAAACAATGATAATGAAAATATATTAAATTGAGCTAAAACTACAAAAAAAAAAAGAGCAGTGTAAGGGGCACATGGTGTGCCAAGGGGAAAGAAGTGTCGGTGCTATATGATGAGATGGTTCAAGGAGGCCTCCTCCAGGAGGTGAGGGGAAGTGCCCTAAGGATATGGAAAGGAAGAACATTCCAGAAGAGGAAGAGTCAGGGCAGGAGTTCTGAGGTGAGCAGCCCTGGGTGTTCATGGAGCAGCAAGGAGAGGGGATCACTGCACCTGTGGAGGGAAGCGAGTTGTAGAGAGAGGAGGAAAAGTAAGGTCAGTGGAGTCGGGGAGCAGACCACGTAGTTCTTATGGGCCGTAAAGACCTTTGCTTATGTTAGGGTGTAGATGGAGATGGGGGCCACTGGAGGTTTTGAAAAGAGGAGGTACCTGAGATTACCCTTCCTTCCCTCCCTCCTCCCTCCCTCCTTCCTCCCTCCTCCCTCCCTCCTCCCTCCCTCCTTCCTCCCTCCTCCCTCCCTCCTTCCCTCCCTCCCTCCTTCCTCCCTTCTTCCTTCCTCCCTCCCTCCTCCCTCCCTCCTTCCTCCCTCCTCCCTCCCTCCTTCCTCCCTCCCTCCTTCCTCCCTTCTTCCTTCCTCCCTCCCTCCTCCCTCCCTCCTTCCTCCCTCCCTCCTCCCTCCCTCTTTCCTCCCTCCCACCTTCCCTCCCTCCCTCCCTCCTCCCTCCTTCCCTCCCTCCCTCCTTCCTCCCTCCCTCCTCCCTCCTCCCTCCCTCCCTCCTCCCTCCCTCTTTCCTCCCTCCTCCTTCCTCCTCCTCTTTCCTCCCTCCCTCCTTCCTCCCTCCCTCCCTCCCTCCTCCCTCCCTCCTTCCTCCCTCCCTCTCTCCCTCCTTCCTTCCTTCCCTCCCTCTTTCCTCCCTCCCTTCTTTCTTTCCATGCTGGGAGTTAAACCCAGAGCTTCACACACTTTGCTATAGAGCCATAGGGCTCATTGGCTTCTCTGTTGATGGTGGACTGGGCTGGGGATGGGGGAGGAAGAACAGAGAACACAGCAGCAAGCAAGGATCCAGGAGGCTCCTGCAGGAATGCAGGAGAGAAGACTGTATTGTTCTGTAATGGAAGCGGTGAAGGTGGTGAGATGTAAATTCTGGGTTATATTTTGAAGGTGGAACTCCCTGGCAGATTGAATATGGAATAGATGGGTAGAAAAAAAAGAGAGAAGTCAGAGAAAATTAGAAGGTTTTTGGTCTGATCTGAAAGCTAGCCGACTGTGGAAGAGTAGAGCACAGGGAAGACCTGCAGCTCAATTTCGGGCACAGTAATGTCTAGCAGCTGATATGCAGATACAGTGTCAAGTAAGACCTGGAGTTCAGGGGGAAAAGCTGGGCTGGAGGTATAAAACTGGATGTTATCTGTACATCCATGGTGTTTGAGCCTCAAGTTGCAGTGAGATCACTATGGGAGTGAGTGTGGAGTGTGTTTTTCCTCAAAGCCAAATGTAGACAATGTTTCCAGGAGAAAAGTGACAGGTTGTGTCAAATGCTGCAGTGAGCTCAAGCAAAAGGACGGCAGAGACCCCTGTTTGGAAATGTGGAGGTAAGTGGGGACCTTGACAAGGCTGTTTGGGTGAAGGGGTTCAGACAAAAGTCTGAGTGGACAGGGTTTAAGGGGAAAATGGCAGAAAAGAATTGGGGACAGTGACAATAGGCAACTCACAGAGTTTTGCTATAAAGTAGAGCAAAGAAATGGGGTCATAGCTGGAGGTGGAAATGAAGTCAAGAGTGTTTTCTTCTTTTCAAGGTAAAAAATACCAATATGTTTGTAGGCTGGTGAGGATACCCTAGTAGAGAGGGAAAAAAACTGATGCTGGAGGATAAAGGGGAGAATTATTGTAAATTTGATGTACCTACATAGGCATACTAGTTTCCAGGGATGCCTTAACAATTTGCCCCAAACTTGGTGGTTTAAAACAACAGAAATTAGCTCTCTCACAATTCAGAAATCTGAAATCAAAGTGTTGGCAGTGATGTGCTCCCTTTGGAGGCTTTAAAACAGACTCCATTCCTTGCCTCTTCGAGCTTTTGGCAACTAGTGGTGTTGCTTGGCTTGTGGCCACATCTCTTTGTTCTTCTTTCCTGTTGCCTTCTCCTTTGTATGTCTTCTCATCCTCTTCTGTCTGTCTTAAGTTTCCCTGTACATTTCTCTTATTAGGATACTATCATCAGATTTAGGGCCTACCCAGTTAATCTTGGATGATCTCCCCATCTCAAGATCATGAATAAAAAGTCATTTTTTCCCAAACTCATGGGTTCAAGATATTAGGACAGGAAAAATATTTTGTAGCCCACCATTCACTTAGGCCAATGTAGCAGATAAGAGGGAATGGTGCCTACTTCTCATGGGCTGAGGTGACTTTTGATGGGATCAGGGATGACTCATCACTGGTGCCAGTAGTGTCAACTGAGGTTTGGTTCCAGTTGTGGGCTGGTGAGTGGATAGTAAAGAAGCTCTATAGGTTCCAGGCCAGTGAGTGGCTAGGTTTTTTTTTTTTTAATTTTTTTTCATTTATTCACATGTGCATACATTGTTTGGGTCATTTCTCCACCCTGCCCCTTCCCCCTCCCCCATTCTTTCCCCCTCCCCCCCCAGTTCCAGGCAGGTCCTGTTCTGGGCTAGGTTCTTTTGATCACTTCCATTTGCTTGGTGAAATCAGAAACAAGGTCATCAGCTGAGAATGAAGATGGGGAAGGAGTCATTAGAGCTTTGGGGTGAAAAGGAAAAAAATGTAGTGTGGTCTTCACGGAGAGGGAAGAAGGAATGAATTAGAGAATTATTATTTGTCCAGCAGCAAATTCCACCTGAAGTCTATGGTCATGAATTTAAACTCAGATCCATCAGCATGGTCAGTATTATCTCCAGCCATGTTTAGCTTGGTGGGTAGAAAGCTGAATTCATCAGGCTTATCTTTCCAAATATGATGAAAAGAGGGTGTTAACTGAGAATGCATGCAAGAAAGTGAATACCTTGATAAGCCAAATAATTTAATATAAGTAAGGATAATGGAGAGGGCATTGGGAGGATGAGAGATGGTAGAAAATGGTAGGCTGAAAGCATGAGATGTTGGAGCTGGACTATGAGGAGGAATGAGCTAGGGAGGTAGGAGGTGTGGTCATAAAGTGGGAGGGGTGGAGTGAAGATCATGGAGACTTTGGAGTCATGGCCATTTCTTGTCCAGGATCTGACCATGGGGGCAGTTAGTAAAAGGCGACAAAAACAATCATTCATTCATATTTGTTGTGGATCTACTGTGTGTTAGGTATTGGAGGCACAGTGGCGAGCAAGGAGCTCCAGAAAGAGACAAGAAAACAGGCAGCTCTAACATCTTACCTGTTGATAGTCATTGTGGGAGTGGTGGGGCGAAATGCAGGTGCTATGGTTCCTGATTTGGGGAGGGGTGTGACTTCTTAGTGGAAGAAACATCCAAACGGAGACCTCAAGAACAAGGAAGAGTTGCTGAAAAAAGAGAGAGATAGACCGGATAATGCTACTCACAGACAGCAGGCACAGATTGCTGGAAAGCATCTGGGCTGGATATAGCTTCTCTTTCTGCTCTTTAATATTAACTTCCTTAATTGCCAATATTTTAAACAAAGAGACTTCAGTTCTAGCTCAAATTTCTGCCTTGTCTTGAAAATCTAGGAGATGAGGCAACATTAGGTTTGCATCTAGACACCACAAAGGCCAAGGCTCAGTGGTGGCTGTCCAATAAAGACAGAGAAGAAAGACTCCATATTGCCTTTCTGCCATCTGCATCCCCTCTTACAGTGATGCTACTTGCCTGGCCTCTGTAGGCGTAAGTCTCAGACCTTAGAGATTTAGTATGGTTGGGGGAAAGAGTGTTGGAGAACACGGCTGAGCAGACAGGCAAGAACCAGGGAACAGCACTGCTCACTGAGTCAAGGACTTGGGCTGTATCTCTAGGTCCCTAAGGAGTTATTGAAGGAGTCAGAGCAGAAGAGTGCTAGCATCTGGTTTCTCTGGGGGAAGGCAGATGAAGTCAGAAGATCAGATGCAATGAAGAAGTTACTGGTGGGCTGGGGGTGTAGCTCAATGGTACAGCACTTGCTTAGTATGCATGAGGTCCTGGGTTCAGTACTTTGGAAAAATAGTTACTGGTATTAATAACTTAATCTTATTTTTATATCTAAAGAAAATTGAAAAAATATTTTTAATTTCTAAGGAATCCAGGAGCCATAAATAGGCATTATAAATACAAGTTTTCATGGGTTAATTCCAGGATTCTTTTCCCACCTGTTGTGTCTCTGTTCTTCATACCTTCCAAGCCTGAGGTTGACTCCACTTGGAAGGGAGACTAAAGCCAACACTTAATCAGTCATTCGGGTTGGAAGCCTGGATTGAATCCTGACTTAGTTACTAGCATAGGACTTTGTGTAAGTAATTAACTTCTTGGGGACTCAGTTTCCTTATCTGTAAGCTGCAGGTAGTAATAGCCATCCCCTGGAGATGCTGTGTGAATGAAGGAGCTGAAGTTATTAAAGCTGGGCACACACTCTGTGCTCAATAAATGTTAGATTAAAACCTGGGATGACATGCTCCATGATAATGTCCATGTGGATAGAGCATGGTTGGAACTTTGCCCTTTTTCTGGAATGGTGTCAAGTTCAAGTTCTTTTCTTGGAGTATATATGTGTGGGGTGGTTATAGCAAGTGTCCCATGATCATTTAGGGTGTTCTCAGTTCAGTTCAAGCTGATGCTGACACCAGAATCATCTAATCTATTAAATGAATAGGAATAGTTGGGTACCAGTGACTCTCACCTGTAATCCTAGCTATGTGGGAGGCTGTGCTCAGGAAGATTGAGTATTGAGGCCAGTTCATGCAAATAGTTCCAGAGACTCCATCTCAAAAATAACCAAAGCTAAATAGTACAGCCATTTTGGAAAGCAGAATGGAGATTCCATAAAAAACTAAAATAGAACTACCATATGATACAGTGATACCACCTGAAGGAATGTAAGTCAGGATACAATAGAAACACCTGCACATCTATGTTTATTGCAGCACTGTTCACAATAGCTATGGAAACAACCCAGATGCCCTACAACAGGTGAATGGACTAAGAAAATGTCACACACACACACACACACACACAATGGAGTTTTAGTCAGCGATAAGGAAGAATAAAACTGTATGGTTTGAAGGTAAATGGATACAATTGGAAGACATCATGTTAAGAGAAGTAAGCCAGGTTCAGAAAGACAAAGGCTACATGTTTTCTCTCATATGTGGAAGACAGGTCTAAAAGATAAATGAATGCTCAAAAAACATGATCATATCCAAAGTCATATATAGAACATGTCTGTAATAGTGGCACTACTCTATGGAACTCAGGGGAGGAGGGAAAGGAAAAGAGAATGACAGAGCATCAACAATATCAAAATATATCTGTGCAGGTAGAGGACATAACGACATGTACTGAAAACTGTTGAATAATGGGGAGTGAGAGGAGATGGGTAAGGGAGACTAACAGAAGGGGTTGAGATGACCAAAATAAAATATACTTACAGCAGGGATATGTTGAGAAACCCCTTTGAACATTGACCTAGAAATTAATGATGAAAGACAGGACTGTAAAATAGGCACAATGTATGGGGGGATACTAGTGGGAGGACGGAGAGTGAGTGAAGGAGATGAAGGTGAGGGAATGTGGTTGATGGACTTCATATACTTAAATGAAATAGAACAATTAAACCTTTTGCAATTGCTTTAAGTGGAGTGGGAGAGGGCTGCAGGGGGGAGACGGTGAGGGTGACCTAACCAATGTGCAATATAAGGCTATTTGGAATTGTCACAATGAATCCCCCTGTACAATGAATATATGCTAATAAAAATGAGAAAAAATTAAAAACCAAAAAAAAAAAAAATAACCCAAGCAAAATGGACTGGAGATGTGGCTCAAGCAGTAGAGCACCTGCTTTGAAAGTGTGAAGCCCTGAGTTCAAACCACAGTACCACCAAAAAAAATAAAAAGAATAGGAAACACTGTGTTTCCACATGGAAAATTTAAGATTGGCTGAGAAACACAGGTTTTAATTAACCTTTGATTATGCAACTTTACACTTTACCAGTGGCATTTCAGGGCCCGTTGTGTTTCAGTGTTGAGGTACTATGGTGGCTGAGCTGGCAAAGGAGGCGGCTGTCATGGCTGCTAAGCCTGGTGGCTGGTCTTAAAGTGGTCTAGTCTCCTCACACCCCCACAGCTACTAGTTATTCTTGATACTAATATATTTGAGGCTATCCTTCACATAGCAGCTGGAGGGGGATTTGAAAAATGTGAGCTTGACCCTATTACTCCCTTACCTAAAACCCTTTCCGCCAAGGCCCATGGACTGCCTGTCCCTGGCTCCGTCCTCAGGGGTCTTTGCTGCCTCTGGGTCGGATGCTGCTCCTTCCTCTGTAGCGTTGACTCAGGTTCCTCCCCCAGGTCTCCACTTCAGTGTTATCTCCTTAGGCAGGTTCAACTAAATCCTGCATAAATCCCCTATTATCCTACTTATGGCGCCTGCATCCTTTTCTTCTTAGCATTTCTCCAAAGGTAATTGAATGTGTGTGTGTATCATATTGACTGAAAGGCCCATCACAGGCAGGAACAGACCCATTTGAGTCATTCTTCTACTAGCCTAGCCTAGTCCTAGATCTGCCATAAGGAGGTACGCAAATGCAAAATATTGTCAAAAATAATGTATGCACCTTTTATTTAGTTATTCATTTTTGAGACAAAGTTTCACCATATTGCCTAGGCTGATCTCAAATTTCTGGCCTCAAGTGATCTTTCTGCCTCAGGCCCCTGAGTGCTGGGACTACAGGCATGTACCATCATGCCCACTGCACCTACTTTTTCTTCACAATTTCTTCTATCATTGACCTGATTAGTATTTATGTTTTCTATGTTCTATTGACTGTGTGCCTACTATGAGCCAGGTGCTGGTTTTAGTGCTGGGAATGTAGCAATGAATAAAGCACACGAAAGTCCTGGTTCACGGGATGCTTTTCTCTGGTGAGTCAGACATCTTTTATGTATGGCCCATGTCATGTCATAGTTTATGTATGGTACTCGTTATACACTTGACCACTGGGAGAGAGGGTCTGGTAGATTAAGACTCCATCCTTGCGTTCTCTCCGGGGCCTCAGAGGGCTTCAATTACTCCAAGAAGTCAGGTACCCTTGGATTGGCTTGCCTTCTCTCCCTATTTCATTCTTTCTGGTCCCAATGCCTTTTCCATCCCTATTTCATGGGATTGCTTCACTAAAGAAACTACCTGCCTACAGATGTGAGTCACTGTACCTGACCTGCAATAACTGTATATACCCATCCTGCTTCCTTCCCAGGTTCCTGAATCCTTGACTTCAAGCAGCAGCAGGTCAGCAGCTACTCCAAGTAGCTGCTGAGCTCTGGCAAGCCCATGTCTGGGACACTCACAGAGAAGGCTCTGCCTGACACCTGCTTCCTCCAAGCTGGGAGTAGGAAAGGGAAACCAGCCCTTCCTCCTCAGGGGCAAGATGTGCATGTCTCTGGCGCTGGAGAGTACATGTCAGGACCCTGCAATGGAACAAGGCCACAATCCGGGGCTTGAATCGACTTCAAAATTCTGTCCCACCCCACCCCACCCCAGGTACTGGGGATTGATCCCAGGCCCTCATGCATGCTAAGCAAGTGCTCTACCACCACTAAGCCACACCCCCAGTTCCCAAAGGAAGCTTTTTTTTTTTGCAGCACTAGAATTTGAACTCAGAACTTCACACTTGCTAAGCAGGCTCTTTTAGCACTTGAGCCACTCTGCTGCCTGTCCCAGCCTTGAATCTCATGTATATAGGAGGTGACAGGCAACTGATAAAGGTGCAAATCTTGCTGGGTGAGAATTATAGTTCTGGGTCTACCACTGATTTGATGCTTTTGTGGTCATGGACCACTTTTCTGCCCAAGGTTTCCGGAAAATGAGCTCACACTGTATGGTCTTAAAGAACCCTCAGCTCTATTCTTTTTTTTTTTCATTTTTCTTTTATTATTCATATGTGCATACAAGGATTGGTTCATTTCTCCCCACTGCCCCCACCCCCTCCCTTACCACCCACTCCGCCCCCTCCCTCTCCCCCCCCAATACCCAGCAGAAACTATTTTGCCCTTATTTCTAATTTCGTTGTAGAGAGAGTATAAGCAATAATAGGAAGGAACAAGGGTTTTTGCTGGTTGAGATAAGGATAGCTATACAGGGCATTGACTCACATTGATTTCCTGTGTGTGGGTGTTACCTTCTAGGTTAATTCTTTTTGATCTAATCTTTTCTCTAGTACCTGTTCCCCTTTTCCTATTGGCCTCAGTTGCTTTAAGGTATCTGCTTTAGTTTCTCTGCGTTAAGGGCAACAAATGCTAGCTAGTTTTTTAGGTGTCTTACCTATCCTCATCCCTCCCTTGTGTGCTCTCACTTTTATCATGTGCTTATAGTCCAATCCCCTTGTTGTGTTTGCCCTTGATCTAATGTCCACATATGAGGGAGAACATATGATTTTTGGTTTTTTGAGCCAGGCTAACCTCACTCAGAATGATGTTCTCCAATTCCATCCATTTACCAGCGAATGATAACACTTCGTTCTTCTTCATGGCTGCATAAAATTCCATTGTGTATAGATACCACATTTTCTTAATCCATTCGTCAGTGGTGGGACATCTTGGCTGTTTCCATAACTTGGCTATTGTGAACAGTGCCTCAATAAACATGGATGTGCGGGTGCCTCTGGAGTAACAGTCTTTTGGGTATATCCCCAAGCCCCAGCTCTATTCTTAAACCACAGAACTGGAAAGAGCCTGATCTGTCAGTTACACTTCAGAGAGTCCCTTCTTACCCTTTAAAGCCCTCCCTGGTGGCTACAGCATGGAAACAGCTCTGGCACATTTGCTCTTGCCCACTGCCTGGCAGCCACACTCATTTACATACAAACCTGGCATTTAGACACATTCTTTGTAATTGAATTTTTTATTGAGGTATTGTAGAATCACATTGTAGTAAGAAATAATGCTCTGTTAGCCTCCCCCAACATTTGCAAAACCTTAGTATATCACAAGTAGGATACTGACATTGATACAATTCACTTCTTTTGTGTGGCAACATTGGGGTTTGAATTCAGTGCCACACACAGGTGCTCTACCACTTAAGCCTCACCCCTAGTCCTTTTTGCTTTATTTTTTCAATAGGGTCTTGCTTTTATGCCTGGGACAGCCTGGACTTCCATCCTCCTATATATGCTTCCCTTGTACTTGGGATGATGACAGGTGTGTACCACTATGCCCAGCTTTTTATTGGTTGAGATAGAATCTTAACTTGGGCTGGCCTCAAACTACCTTCTGACTAGCTAGGATTACAGATGTGAGCCACAACACCAGCTAGTTCAACTGTTTTATTCAGATCTCCCCAGTTTTAATTGTACTTTGTGTTCCTGTAAGTTCTTTACAAGTTTATCACTTGTGCCCCAACAATCTAGATACCTAGTTCTCAAATCAGAAGGATCCCCTATATTGCCCTTTTATAAACTCACTTACCTTCTTCCCTCCCACCTCAGACCCTACTTGGTGTTTTAAAAAAATCTATTTAGAAATAAATTCAAATTTACAGAAATATTCTAGTATACCCCATACCAATCCAGTGACAATACTTCACCCATTTTCCCATCAAGGTGTCTTCTTCCCCCAATCATTTGCAGATAAGTCACCTCTGTCATGACCTTTCACTCTTCTGTGATACTTCTACTGTACTTCCTTAGAGACGTTCTTGTGCCCAAACACAGCACAGGCTATCCACATTAGTAAGGTGAACATTGATCCAATACTGTAATCTACAATGTCAGTTGAAATGTCCCTTATAAACACCCCACTTTCACTCAGGATCCAGTACTGGTCAGGTGACACATTTAATAATGACTCTTGGGCCCTCTCTAATTGGGACCATTTCTCAAGCCTTCTTTTGTCTCCTATGACATTGAAAATTTGAGAACACAGCCCTTGGCCTTTTTCGGTAGATGTTCCTCCTTCGGGGTTTTTATGAGGTTTCATCACCATTAGATTCAGGTTATAGATTCTCCTGGGAGTACTACAGAAGTGATGGAATACCGATCACGTGGTCAAGGTGTGGTCCACCAGCCCTTTTGTATAGTGTTTGCCTCCTCACTACTAATGAGCAAATCAGCTATGGGGAAACAGGTTAACTCAGGCAAAATATCTAGTAACCAGTAACATTCCCATCCCACCCTACCCACCCCCCGCCTGCAGTTAGCATGCCAGAACCAATTTTTAGTATTCACTTGATCTCGTTTTTATTCAGTACCAGAATCTAGATTTTGTAGGGCTTATTTTCCTGGATTCTTTGGCTCTGGGCTGAGTCAACTCAAGTTCTCCCAATGTCCTGTATGACCTCTGGGCACAGACGACTCAGCAGCCACGCACTGACAGTGAGCTAGCAGGGGTTGTTCCCCGTTAAACCGTCCGCAAGTAATTTGCATAGGAGCGGGGCCCCGAGCTCACTTCCTGGATCGCTCCTGATGCCCCTCCGCTGCCCCCTCCCGTCACCTTTGCCCTTAAGTGGCATGGTATTCAGAATGCCCTTCCCCAACCTCCCGTCCGGTCCGTCCTCGGTGGGTTTAAGCCCAAGGCTTGCTTTCCCGGGGAGTGGGGGGCGTGCTGGAACCCAGCGCCTGCGCTCACTCAAGCAGCAGGGCTGAAAGGACAGGGCCTCTGGGGTGTCTTGGTCGTCTTGACCCGTCTCCGGTTGGACCCCGAAGGGGGCTGGAAGTAAATACGCTGGAAATAGGGTGCGCTGAGCTGTCTCAGACCCGGATACCGCCAGGGCCCGGCGGCGGGATGAAGTGCCGGGTGGTCATCCTGGAGGGCGGCCCGCAGGTGGCGGCGCGCGCCGGGCCGGGCGGGGCCGGGCGGGGGAGGGGAGGGGAGGGCGCGGCGCGCGTCGGGCGGTGACGGCAGCGCGGAGGGAGGCGCGAGCGGCCGGCCGGCCCGCGGGGAGCCATGGCGAGAGGCCGCGCCGCGGCGCCCGCTCCCGAGCCCGCGTCCGCAGCAGCGCCCCCACCCGCCGCCCCGGGGCCCGCCCGGCCCGCGTCCCCGCGCGCCCCCCGCCCGTGACACTCGCGGGCCGGAGCCAGGCCCCCCCGGACACCCGGAGTTGGCGCGGGGGAGCTCGAGCGCATCCCCGCGCCTCTCCAGCGCCCGACGACCCCGCGTGCCGGCGCCCGCGGCCCCGAGCCTCGGAGTGCCAGGTTGCCCAGCTAGCCGCGGCCGGAAGCGTCGCCCAGTCCCCGTGCCGCCCGGCCCGCTGCAGCGGAGGGACCCGGAGCGGCCGGGCGGTCCGGGCCGGGCTGTGGACGACGCAAAGAAGACGACAACGACAGCGGAGCGCCCGAGGCCCCGGGACCCTGCGCCGCCTGAGGGTAAGCCGAGGTCCGCCTGCCGGCGCCTCGGGCACCCGGCCTGGGGTGAGGAGGACACGGCGTTCCGGGAGTGGCAGCCCCGGCGGGGACAGCCCTCTTCCTTCCTTGGCTGCACCTGCGGGGTCCTGGGGGCCCAGGAAGGTGTCCCCAGGGCATCGCGTCGGCCCTTGGATTCCAGCCTCTGGCCCTCCGAGGTGACAGTCAAGCGACCTTCAGAGAGCCCTGGACTGATCCAGGCCAGAGCGCGGGCTGCAATCTGATGATGCCCACTGAAGGCAAAAGTTCATGCAAATGACATCTGAGCGTGCGAGGGACCTGGCAGATGGCTCGTAGGGTCCCCCTTTCTATCCCGAGAGTTAGCAAGTTCATTGTGTCACTTTTTGACTTGAGTTTTGCAGTTCTTTCTAGTCTCCAAGGTCAGCTTCTTGCAGGCAAAAACAAACTTAACGAAGTGCATTGTTTGTTTCTTTGTTAGGTTGTGTTTAGGGAAGGTGTCAAAACTTCTCCAGGCGTGTGCTGGGTGTCCCTACTCCTTAAACTTTCATTTTAAAATCGTTGCAGCACTTGCTGAGACCCTGCATTTAGTGTCCCTTGTGAGAGCCTCCACAGTGTAGCTGTTGAGGCCTGAGGGTTGTTTTTCCTTGATGGACTTCACCAGAACTTTCCTTCAAATGCATGTGTAAACCATGGTGATCTTGTCTGCAGAGTGTACCAGGCCAGTTCCCTTTCCTTCAGGGTCTTGGTGATGGGTTTGGGGTGGGCAGACACCATGAGGAAGCCAGCTAGTTCAAGATCCTTTACATTTTCCTGCTACCAGAGCAGCAAAGAGGGAGGTGGCCAGCCCCCAGCCAACATGAGTGGTGAAGGGGTGCTCCCAACTTTGGGTGAAGATGACAGATCAGGAGCTTGACTGGTAGGTTTTCAGAGGTGATCTGGGGTGACAGATGGCTGCCTTCCTCTTTGTCATGCTCTAGTGGCTCTAGTGCTCTTTGATCTCTGACCCCCGCTTTGTCACCAAGGAGCCCACACAAGCACAGAGCCGGCCAGAGAGTGCAGCCAAGCTCTGGCAATGCCGGCTGGGTTAGAAAGCTGTAGTCTAGGTGAAGTAGGTTTGGCAAGAGCTGGATTTCAGCCTGGCCACTTGGCCACAGCACCAGGGCAGGTTCCTGTCTGATGCCCCCAGGGACCTGTGGGATTCAGTTTCCTGAGCAGTGGAGCTCTCTGTAGAGGGTGCCTCCACACAGGCCATGTTGCTCTTGCGACCTCTCTCTGGTGAGTCTTGGAGTGGGAAACCCAGGTCCATATTCTAGCTCCTCTCTCTCTTTACTGGTTCTGTGATCTTGGGCCCTCACTCTGATCTGGCTCTCCCCTCTCCTGTATTTACTTCTCCATCACCCTGCTCAACAAACCTAACTGGACTGTTGGAAGGATTAAAAGGGAAAGTCCTTAAAGAGAACAAATATGTAACAGTTTGAATGACCTGTGAGGGTTTTTGGGTCTCATTTCAACTTGACTGTGGTTGTGACTTGGTAACCTATTTTGAGCCCCTATAGGGATAATAAAGCAGATTTTATAGTAATTAGTACCTTTTATATAGATTTATGGTGTAGGTCAAAGTCAGATAATGTAAAGGGGCTTTGAAAATAATACAGCATTATTTACATTTAAAGGAGTTCCTAAACTTTCACTTTCCAAAACTAACAGCATCTTACTGTTGTTTGCCACCAAATGTAGACTTTGCTCCTGTCACTACGTTCTGAGCCCCTGCACACGCAGACCTCTATAATTGCTAGATCTTTCTTGAATGGCTCTCTGGGCTCCCAAGGTACCCATAGCCAAAGGTGTTTTTCATGAACACAGTGGTTCTGTTGGGCCATATAGCTCATAGGACCTGAGGAGGGCGGTAGGCAGGTTGGCCACTTTTCCTAACAGGGACAACCTTTTTCCTCCCCTTTCAGTCTTAAGTGAGAAGGGCATCTGAGGGTGAAGAGTCCGCTTAGACTGATTGCCCGCACTTTCGTTGAAGCCCGTCCTGCAGGCTGTGTGGTTGGTTTGATAAAGCTGAGGACAGGGTTCCCACCATAGCCTCTGGGCTAGATGACTCCCTGACCCTGTGTTTTGCTTAACTCTTTTGTGTTTGGTATGCATTGTGATTTTTGTGGGGAGGACAAAAGAACTTTTCAGAATGCAGAAGTTAGGGGAGACCCGTGTGCTCTCAGACTTGGTTGTGTGTGGGACAGAGACACACTGATGAATGGGTGTTCTGGCTCTGCCTCCTTTTTTCCTTCTTTCTGAGCAATATTCCCCATTCTGACTTGCCTTCTATTAGATGTATCTGAATGGGGGCCACTTTCGGGATTGAAAAGTTCAGTTTTAGTGAAGAGACTATGTGTCATAGTACGCATTTGTACCTGCACGTCTCTGAACTACAGGTAGTCCTAAGGACAAGCTGTGTGCTGTTCGAAGGGTGTGGCATGATTCATGGGGAAGCTCATTTAATTATGTAACTGTTCCTAGTGCACCCAAGGTGGAAGAGGGTGAAGCGTGTGGAAAGGGAGCTCTTAAAATCCTTGCTTGGGCTTCTGGTCCAGCCTTCTAGGAAGGACTGCTCCCGGTCTCACTTGTTCAGTGGGCAGATATTTTTTAAGGGGTATGCTAGACTAGGCTGGGTTGCTCACACCTGCAATCCCACCCATTCAGAAGGCAGAGATTGGGGGATCAAGGTTTGAGGCAAGCTCAGGTAAAAAGTTATGAGATCCTGTTTCAGCTAATAAGTAAGACATGATAGTGTGGGCCTGTAACCCCAGCTACTCAGGTGACACAGGTAGGAGGATTTGCATTCTAAGACTGGTCCTGGGCAAAACTCAAGACCCTACCTGAAAAATACTTAATGCAAACAATGGGCTGGAGGCATGGCTCAAGCAGTAGAGTACCAGCCTAGAAAGCGAGGGTCCCTGAGTTCAAACCTCAGTACCACACACACACACACACACACACACACACACACACGCACACACAAAAGCACCACAAATCTCTTGATGAAGACTAACAAACGGCAGTGACTTTTAGGTGGCCACTTACAACCGTGGGAATTTCCTTGGCCTTCATATGTCAGGCTGTAATATGGATTATGTTGATGACTCCTGAATTTTAGCTCTCCCTATAATGTCAGGACTCCAGGAACCTGGAAGGGGGTTGGGAGTTTAATCTGAGGCTTCTAAACCTTTTCACCATTAATGATTCCCTTGACAGAATGTAAGGTTCAACCCCTGTACCTCTACAGCCTGTCTTGCTATTATCCCAGGCTGGTTTTCAACTCTTGGACTCAAGTGATTGTAGCCTCAGCCTCTCCAGTGCTGGGACCACAAGTGTATAGATAGCACTGCACCCAGCTTGGATTCATCTTGTTTTAATATAAAAATGCTTTAGATTACTGTCTAAGTCAAAAAGTGCTTGAGGAAAATGATGTTGTCTTTCCCGAAGTCCTGGGAGATCACCCCAGCTGAAGCACGTGTACCCCCAGTTTGAGAATCTTAGAGCTTGGCTTATTTCTGAAGTATCCTCAAGTTCTAGACTTTATGACACATCAGGACTTTCAAAAGCAGAAGGCAATTTCTCCAGAGGAATGGATTTTGAACTAACATCTGAGAAGGGTGCTCTGGTATTGAGAGGAAGTAGATATCTTAATTAATTAGAGAAAGTCCAGAATATAAATTAGAATGCTAAGTAAGACCAGCTACTGTGGGTGTTCAGGGGACATTAAAATTCCTCCTTAAGAATTAGTTGGAGCCCAGTGCAGTTCACACCTTTAATCCTAGCTACCAAGGAGGCAGAGATAGGAGGATTGTGATTTGAAGCCAGGCTGGGCAAATAGTTCTTGAGACCCTATCTTGGGGTGGTGGGGGTGAACCCATCACAAAAAAGGGCTGGTGGAGTGACTCAAGTAGTAGGCCATGAATTCAAACCCCAGTATTGAAAAAAAAAAAAAAAAAAAGAATGAGTTTGAAACCAGCAGGAATGGGAACATGTGGAATGGAGTGGTGTGACATTTTCTGAAAGGCATCTCTTTAGCGTCCCCTCAGGGCACTTCACACCTCCTTTAATGATTAGATTTGCTTACTAGATAGCTGACTTATGTTTACACCGATTAGCTATTATGAAATCCTACATCAAATTACATTGCCACAGGTTTATTTATGTCTCTTAAAATGGATTTTAATTAGATTTGGGGTATGAAGTTTTATTATTTTCTTTCTACTTTCTCCAAATTGGAGAAAAGGCATCTGTGCCCGTGAAGGACCATGGGGTTTTAGATGTACTTCACAGGTTCTCTGGTTGTTCCAGACAGTTCAGCATCCCCCACCTCAGCAGTGTTCTGTTAGATGACAGCATCTTGTGAGCCCTCAGTCTTTAAGTTGAGCAAAAAGTAGGACAGATGCAATCCAGAGTAGACTTGTGTCCTTTTAGATAATTTCCAGATTGGGCTGTGGAAGCAGCGTGGCCTCACTTGTATTACATTGAACTTGGACCTTGTGGAGCAGGTAAACAATGGGTGCAGACACCATCCTTGAATTCTTGTCCAAGGACCCTTGAGAAACTTATTAGGGAAAAAGGAGGACACGAGCATCAGTTGTCCTGGTGTGTCAAGAAAGGTGGGGAACAAGTGACCATAGCCTGCTTCCCTGTTCATGCCAGAGGGACCAAGTCCAGCTTTGTGGAGAAGCCAGGTGGCTGTGTTGTGAGAACAGCAGCCAGGCTGTGCTCCTGAGAGGGGTCTTGGTCTTGGCTGTTTGTGCATGGCTTTTGGTCTCTGCAGTCATGGCTGAGCTGATTGCAGGAGTGCAAACCAGGAGGAAGTGTAACTCTGTCTACTTAACACAGGAGACCCCTTGTAACCCCTCACTCCAGCTGCCTTGCCCAACTCAACTGATAGAACTCCAGCATGCAGCCAGGCAGGAGACCCCAAATGAAGTTGGTGTCTAGTGGCAGGAGTATCTGGAAGGTTCTTAGATCTGCACAATCTCAGACTGCCTCAGACCTGCTGA